CAGTTGCATATATTTATGATCAAGAATGAAAAGTCCTGAAAATCTTTTTATACGAGGAAGATTTCCGTTGTATTGGACCCTCAACTCCCAACTGTTTACCTTCTTCATTACAAGATAGCTTCATCAGGACAGAGATCAAAAATATATAGATGATATCATTGGTTTCAATCTGACAGGCACAAAAATTAGTATTCCATATAAATGATGAAATGAATGGAACGGTCATAACAAAGCCATTTTCATAATCTTTATAAAGATTCTCCTTTTTCCGGCTATACTTTTCAATGGACATTCAATTAGCTGTTAGAAACGCAAGTTTGAAATACTATAATACAGAAACGAACATCGATAACAAGTTCCCTTTCCCATCTGAAATCTGTATGCCCAGTATGTGGAATTCTGATGTGATTCGGAAGCTCAGATTCTCGTTAAAAACTCATAACATTCTTTGGGTCGAAAATGTCAGCGAATTTAATTTCGATATACGAATATTGAGAATCACTTGAATCATATTTTCGTTGTGCACTGCCATCCCCTCTGGAATTCCTAATCTCGACTGCGAAATTTCATTACATTCATCGAATTTTCCAACTGGACATCGTTTATTTGATATTCCAATTCATTACATTTCGATCAAGAATTTCCTTTCGGTCCACTTACACTTCGAACCGGAAAAAATTGGTAATACAATATTTAACTTTATAATCCATAATTATCATTCATCCAGCCTCGAATTTTATGGATTAAATATATATTTTTTTAATTTTGACACCTTTCAAACCTGACGGAAGTTTCGAAACGTCTTACCCGCTACAAAATGATGGGTGACAGTTGACTCACTAAACAAAAATATCCTTAGATTGGTAGATAACCTACCAGTCGTATACATGCTTGATCAGAAACTGAAGGTTAGGTCACCAAATAGCTTGTTTTTTATGTTCTGGTTCCCACAAAAAGGGATATCCTGTAATGTTCAGAGAACATGAGAACCAAGGGAAATAAGGTAGGAATTGGTGTTCTTCTTAAATTTCTGGATGTAATAGGTGGTCAAACTTTGGGAGTATATAGAGTGAGTGAAATAATTACGAAAACCTTGGTAACATTTTTTTCTGAAGTGCCCCCCAAGAAAGATACAGCCCCTCAAAGGGGGGCCTCGGAGAATGACTTTGTATTATTATCTCCAATACCTCTTGTATGATGAAAATCTAAAATTTTGTTTATTCACTAACTATTCAGTGCCGGTTCGAATGTAGTTGAAATCACCTCAAAATTAAATACAGGGGTGTGTCAAAATAGGGAGGTAGGGGGTAAAAATAACCCCAACTTTTGTGTTCATCGCAATTTCAGTTTTTTTCCATGAAATTATAAAATCTCAGGGCTATTAACATAGAATAGGAGCTCTTGTTGAATCTTGATAAACTGAACCATTAGCGAATAAAATTTATTTTTCCAAGATTTCAATTAAATTGCAATTTTGGTATGCACTTAAGTTTAATTATCTAGTTAAAATCTTGCAACTGAATTTTTACCTACTTCTAATCGTCTGATCAACTTGGAATCTGGCAGATGACAGTTGACAACGCGTTATGGACTTCTTGGTAGAAAAAAATATGGCGACGAGAGAAATAAAAAACTTGAAACCTCAACGCTCTGATGAAGATCGGTAACGAAACGTTTGCGGACACATTTCTATGAGAAAAAAATCTTATTTTGACCTTAAAAATGAGACCTTGGAATATTGATACTGCATTTTGAAACACACTATAAATCTGTAGTAAGGCCAAATCCTCGGACAAATCACATAGTTTGCCCCAGAATGTCGCGGCGTTTAAAATTTTCCCATCAGAAACCTAAGAGAAAAATGCAATCGGAAGTCATTGTTTGAAAAATATCTGAAGGGGTGTATAAGAAAATTAAAAAATTTCACTTATCTTTGGACGTTTCGGGAACGATTCTGCTTGATTTGTCCATAGATATTTCTTTTTCAATGCATGTGAATTATTAGGTGAGGTTTTCAAAAATAGAACATATGAGATTTTACTATTTAATTTTCTACAAGGCACACACATACATAAATATTTACAATAAATACATACATACTGATCTCAACTAATCATGATACTAACATGAATTCTTCAAAATATTTTGTTACTCATGAGCTGTACATGTACATAAGATAGTATAGGAAATGATTTGCTTATTAGTATTATTAACAATAAAATTGCATCACGTGTGGTATATGCGGGATGTTTTCATAATATTTCATTTCAACTTCTTCAACTTGAAATAATAACTTTGTGAAATGAATTGCTTTTCGAATATGAGAGTCTAGAAGCTATGTTTTTTACTACCATCAGATCTGATCAATCAAAAACGTTTTTTATAATTTCTCTTTGGAAAATTATCACCGGAAATGGACATTGGTCTCTTCAAAGTGAAACACCTGGTATAATTCAAATTATAAGTTATGTATTGCACACATCAATTGGGGAGTATTGCAGCAAATATTATCATTTATGTGTGATGACCAAATTAGTAAGATTGTCAAATTACCGTATACAATTTTAAATATTTTATATCGAATACTATGTAGAATGAGAAATATCGAAGATTGAAAAATCAGAACGTTCTCATCATACTTATTGAGTTAAATATGAGAACCATTTTTTATGATGAACACATTTGGTACACTTTGCTGGTGTACACTTTGATTTGAATGGAACTGCATACCTACGAAAACGGGATAAAAGTAAGGAAACCTACATCATAGCATAGCCTATAAGTAATGTATTCAGCTAAAATAAGAAAATATGCCCAAATCAGTCTAGTATAGAAATCATTTTCAAAATATTTACAATGTAGAGTGACGTCACGATATGCTTTCGAGTTTCAATGAACAGGACGTTAGTTACATAAGGACTATATAAGTTATTTCGATTATTATTATTATGATATTTATTACGCTTTATATAAAACTATTTCTGCAACATTTTATGAAATATGAATCAGTTAAACTATTTCAACAGGGAATTGTAATTGGTTAGATTTTCGATTTGTTTGATAAGTCCTAAGATATAAACAGTATTTCCTGTTTTCTGAATAAGTGCTTTAGCCCAGCACAGATTATGGAAAGCTACAGGGGCGGATCCAGGGGGGGATGCAAGTATCCCCTCCTCGCAAAGTCACGAACCTCATGAATATGTAAAAATGAAGGTATTCTGAATACCAAACAATACCTCTGTATGTTCTTAGTTCTTAGTCTCAGGTTCAACTCGTCTAACTCTGACAATCGTGCCCTTGTTTTCATTGTACGGGGTGTTAAAGTTCGCATAAATTTTTGGTATTTATTTTTAATCTCTCTTGAAACAGAACCTAGCAATTTGAAATTCGAGAAGCACTTTTTTATCTGCAATATGAACAGTCCTTATCAATAGAGAGGGCTCAGCTACACTGGGTGATATTTTTTTCCATATCCACTCATATAAATTCCTAGAAATTTTTTTCCATTAGGACGCTAATGGTGAATTATAGCTGATGAAAAATGATCCCTATTTATACACCTTGCTATCTGCGCTTCTCTTGTTTTGATATCCTTCTTAGTTTCCTTGTTATTTGAAATGATGTTATACTATGCATATAACAGTTTTTTCACCTATAAACGTTTATCTAACATCAAATTATCATTCGAATTGAATATTAAATGGTTCACAGAAACAAATGAAGAACACAAAGTATGGTGAAGCAATAATAATGATTCTTCATTACGTTCAATTCACTAAAGTTAGACGAATTAAACCTGAGACACCCTGTATAGAGCCATATCCACCCGCGACTCAGATATCGAAGAAAAATACTATTTTTGAGATTTTTCTTTATTGAATGTGCTGTTCAATAAAGATATCTATATACATACAGGATGACTGATAAAGAACGACCCATGCCATAGCTCTGCTATACTTATTGTCCGATTTTGGAAAACTTAAAGGGCAAATGAACTGCTCATCGGATACTAAACGTAGACTCTGATAATTATTTATGAAATATATCGAATAGTTTGAAAATATGGTCTTTCACAACAGGCAATTTGATACCTACTTGAAAGGAAACTATATACATATATGATCTCATGTTTACTAGAATCAATATTCCTAATAAAAAAGTATTTATGTCTCAGAAAGTAACAATAAAAATAACTCTTTTTCTGCTATCCTTAATAAGCAGAAATATCTCAATGCCCTCCTCCTCAAACATCGCCTGGATCCACCCCTGGTGAACCAATGAAATCAAAAAATAGTTAGATCTCCAGAGGCGCCGTTAGGAGTGAAATTAATAAATGAATTATCGAGCATGCCAGTACCTTCGATGCAAAACAAATGTATTGATGCAAATGAACATATTTACAAATCGGAGAGGAGATTATTAGCTAAATTACAATCATTCAATACTTATCCATTTACACCTCGATTTACACTTGGTGTCATCAGAGTGTCAGCAAAAAATTAGGTAACAGCTCATTCTGTTTGTTTGCATGGATATTACCTACATGAAGTCTCATGATGGAAACTTGGGATAGACAAACAGATACGCAGTGATTTGCTATATGGAAACCTTACAAAGATGGAACTATGATTATATCGGTATAGATACACTATATATAACTGCTGATTCAAAGTATTATACCATCCACGTGTCATGAAGGTATCGGTATTTTGTAATGTTACTAAATAATCAGAATGAATCAGACTCGGATAAATGTTTTCAATGAAATATTCAAAATATTGTCTTTTACTATAAGTACTAAGACGCTGAATGGCTATATATAAAGTGAAACAAACTCAGCGCCTGTATGTACCAACTGTAACTCCTTGAAGATTTATCAATTTGATAGGTTTTCCGTACAACTTTGTTGGCAACTTTTCTACCTCTAGAATCTAGAACGTTATTCAAATGTCTACCTGCTACTCAACAAAATTCCGAAACTTTCAATCCACTTATTTCATCTATGTCGCACTACTCGTGAACATCACGGAATTCTTGTAGTAAACCGATCGGTCTTGCAGAGGCGACTTGATTTCTCCCTCGACTTGCTGCCGTCTCGATTTCCGTTCCATCTCAAGTTCTTGGGCCAAAGATTCTGAAACAACAGAAGAATAACTTTAGATCGTTCAAATTCAGAGAAGAATGACTTAAGCGCACCGTTCAAGTCTCTCAACGTTTCATTCACTTTCTTTTGATGTGTAAAATTCATTGACTATAGATTCATTCAAGCTCATGAAATCCATAATTGAAAATCCACGACTGTATTCAAAAAAACGAAGTTGATGATGCCAGCTCAAAGACGAAACGTCGTTTTGAAAATCTGATAACACCATCTTGTGGAACAGAAAAAGTAGCAATGAGAATGTTCGATTTGTTTTGTTACATCTGTCCGAATAGAGTCATGAAAAAATAAAAATGAAATCGCGAATATTCGGTGTTTTCCAAAAATCTCTGGAAGTATTCGGAATTCTTCAAATTTGAAAATTACATTTTCTTAGGCACAGAATTACGCAACTGGAAAAAAGTTGAAGTTCATTTTGCAACATTTAATGAAGTGTTTAAAACGAAATGAGAAGTCTCACTAACAATCCGTTGAAAATCATACCAGGAAATCAACGAGAAGAAAAAATCACCAATAATATTTATATTGAAGATACTTCTTGCAATTGAACAATTATTAAACATATTTTTTTTGTATTTTATTTACGGGTCTTTCTTTCCATCAATAACAATAATATTTCAGGAAGGAATTTTTCCACAAATACATATTATGTATGTTATAGTAAAACTTGGAATTATTATTCCTGGTTGAAACTAGGAACCGTTGGTAGGACTATTTCAGACATAGACGATGGCCACTAAGTATTCGAAACAAACATTTTCTGTATGTTAATGACACTGTCGAGTACATTTGAGAACCCTAGTCTCTTTTAGTCTGAAGACCACATTTGGGGCAAAGTTAAGGCCCCAGTGGGACATCGAAGAAACACATTCCAGGCGATTGCTATAGAGTTCAAGAATCTCTTGGTCTTGAGGTTCTAGGTTTGTCACTTTTCAGCTCTCGACAGTGGGAAATGGAATGATTTTGGGATTTCCAGAAGGCACTTGAAGTGTTAAAATTAACTTGAAATTTGTCCAAACAAAATCGATTCCGATTGGTATCACTTTTATGCTTAGTTGACACCCAAAAAGCACTTAGATGTTGCGATAGTTGTGATAATTATATATGCAGCATAAACTTAGTAAGTTCTTGCACTATTTCCACTAGGTAGTTATGATGTGATGATTATTCAATCATGGATCCATTCGTGAATTCATCATTTTCAGCTGGTGAGACTTGGTGATCTGAAGTCTGTCTTGTATCAAAGATTCGCAGTTGCCAAGATCATCATCTGACGCTGAGATGACATAAAAACTACGGGAGAACTACTGGCTTAGATTGAGAGTTAGACATGGTCTCCTGCAGTTTTTATAGAATCGCTACGTCAGATGATGACCTTGGCTACCGCGAATACTTTATTCTCAGAACTCCCCAAGACTCTCTCGTCTTATGATGAAAAATATAGTGAAACCTCAGCCGCGGCACTTGATATTTCCAAGACATTCATTCGATCGAGTCTGGCACCACGGACTCCTCGCCAAGCTTCCATCTTATGGCTTGCCTCCCCAGCTATTTTCTCTGCTAGCTAGTTTTCTCAAACAGGTCTCTCCATGTAATGGTCGATGAAGATTCATCTGACTCTCTTATCATAAATGCTGGTGTTCCGCAAAAATCAATTCTAGCACCAACACTATTTCCACTCCATATTAACGATTTTTTGGAAGCAACTTCATGTCCAGTACACAGTTTCGCGGATGATAGTACCCTCCATACCGCCTTCTCTTCCAGGGCTCCAATACCAGCTAAGCAAATCAGAAACGAACGAGGAAGAAATCTTGACAACATAAATATGGACTTGGCAACAATTCTCGAATGGGGATCCAATAACTTGGTAGATTTCAATGCAAACAAAAGACAAGCATGCCTTCTCTCTAGAAAAGCCGATCTCACTGTGCCCAACATAAGCTTGTCAAGAGTAACCATACCTTTGAAGACATCCATTTTAATGCTTGGTATTACTATCAGCAATAATCTTCCTTGGGAAAATCAGGTTAGATCAATTGCTGAAAGTGCATCCCAAAAACTTGGTTTTCTGTGTCGGACCAGGAGCTATTCCACTTCCAGTCAGCTGCTTATGATCTATAAGGCTCAGATCCGACCTGTCCTGGAATACTGTTACCATATTTGGAGTGCAGCACTCAAACATACCTTGAAAATGTTGGATTCTGTCTAAAAAAGGGCAATTAGTCTTGTGGGTGATGCCTCGCTCACAAACTCACTCACTTCTCTAGAAGATATTTTCATGGACGATGTTCTTCTGAAATATCAATAATTGTTCCTCCCTTGAGTGTCCTCGCGAGATTAACCCGTCGAGTTGAGGCTTCGCACCTTTTCGTGGTCACTTTGGAGACCTACAGAACATCTCTCAACAAAGACTCGTTCATCCAACGAACAGCGAGGCTCTGGAACACATTGCCGAAGGAGGTGTTCCCCGAGGCATATAACCTGCAGAAATTTAAGAAGAACACCAATTCCTACCTTATTTCCCTTGATGGTTCTCACGATGTTCGCTGAACATTACAGGATATCTCTCTTCGTGGAAACTAGAATTTGAGAAAATATGCTCACTGATGTCAATATCACCATTCCCAAAGCAGGAAGCAGGACAACAACGCTGATGCCTGTGTTTAGACGTCAGCAAGTCGGCATTAAAGTTTCATCGCATATTGTCTTAGACAGACAGGCTACGCAATTCTCTAAGACACCGGTGCGGATCGATCCATAATAATCTCGTCCTGATTAGAGTTAATTCAATCGGAATCCTTCCTTGGCGAACAATGCAAGCAGCTCCGGCCAGGGTCCTGGTAATGGGTCCCAAGACGATCGAATAGCCCCTAACGCAGGGGCCGGATCCAGGGGCACACGCGTGGACAACGGGAAGCCGGCACAATATTAACTAATTACCTATTCATTAAGGCTTAAAGTGGCAAGTTGGTCTTGAATTATTCCCGGCTCCGGGGGCCAAGTTCCGGAAGTGAGGTAAGACGCGAAAGCTCGCCGGAAGCCCTTCTAATGGATGCCCAACTTATAATATCCAACTAGCGTGCTTTATTAGGATTGATTGGTTTCTGATAACGTCGTGCACTGAAACTTGTGAACTAATACGGATGGCTCGGGTATGTGTCTATGTATGTGTGTCGGAATAACCGGACAAGTTTGCCTTTGTCCGAATTTGACTATACACATAGCAAAGTCGAGCAGGCTCAATAACTTCCGGTGTTGAAACATTAGATGCCAAGTCAAGAATATGGGAAGAACGGAATCAAAGTTGGTAAAACTGAAACTTCTGAAACAACAGACATGGCATAGAAATGTTCAACTTGAGATTCAATATACCATGACATGCATAACGGAGTTATGATGCTATAGGTTATATTCCGAATTCTACTGACAGAAATGAATCTGCTGAATGAAACAAATCACTGAAAGTGAGACATACACTATTCATTCCAAATATTTCGACTTCACATACTGCTGGAATTGATGACTATCAAAAGGTAGTGTGGCTTCAGTTAACTGTCATTATTTCAGAGGGGAAGGAATGTCACATTTAAACTGGGCGTCAATTGAAACGTTAATCGTGAAATTTGGCATCAAGTTTGACTTCTCGTAATTTCTGAAATATTGAACGAATTTTGAATTGCCGCCCAGATTCTGAATGCCTTTTTCATCGTCTTTCGAACCATTCCTCACAGCTCCTTCTGAGTTGATCAGGACCCGTGATACAGGGTGAAACAAAGTTTCGTGCATTTTGAAAAAAATTTCTCCGCCCCCCCATTTTGTCGGAAGACCACGATGCTCATATTTTATTCAGGCATTTCATAAATAGCAACCATACCTCGGGACGTTTTCGAGTTTTTGCCAAAAACTACTGTGGTTTCCGAAACAATTTTTTTTTGTATTTTTTTGAATGGACTAATTTTAGATGAGTTCCATAAATGGATGCTATTATGCATTTCAGGAAAGCGTTGGAGCAGATATGTATACCAGGTTAATAAAAAACAATCAATAATTTATTACTTTGCAGTCTATGATAAAAGTTTTCTACCTTAGTGAGCAGTAAATCAACACATCTCATCGACAAAAACAAACAACGATACCTTGTTTCTATAACAACGTATTGTTGAAACAATGTAGATATGCATAGAGGTTATATCAATTGCCAATTTTCATGAAAACGTCAGTGTAATTCGGGTCCTAAAAAATTTAAAGATGCCTCGTTCAATAATTCAGTACAGATAATTATTATTTCAGGCTACGACGATTAGGATATACCCAAACTCATTTATATATGTACAATTTTCAATAAGTCGGTCATGACAATAAATAGACTGATTCATCGTTCTGAGGATACAGGTAATCAGTTAATTCAAAAAAAAAAATCGAAAAAAAAATTTTTTTCGGAAACCACAGTAGTTTTTGGCAAAAACTCGAAAATGTCCCGAGGTATGGTTGCTATTTATGAAATGCCCGAATGAAATATGAGCATCGTGGTCTTCCGACAAAATGGGGGGTCGGAGAAATTTTCTTCAAAATGCACGAAACTTTGTTTCACCCTGTATCACGAGTCCTGATCAATTTAGAAGGAGCTGTAAGGAATGGTTCGGAAGACGATGAAAAAGGCATTCAGAATCTGGGCGGCAATTCAAAATTCGTTCAATATTTTAAAAATTACGAGAAGTCAAACTTGATGCCAAATTTCACTATTAACGTTTCAATTGACGCCCAGTTTATTTCCGTTGTTTTTCCAATAATGAATTAATACCATTTTTGATACTAGAAAAAGCCTGTTATTCACGCCGAGAATGATATTCAATTCAGTGAAAGTATACATGAGTGACAACCTGACAACTGAAGAAGATCACCTGCTGATCAACTGCTGCTGATCAATGATGAAAATCATAAAAACATGTTCCGAATTACAGCACTGTATT